TGTTAATGAGAATCATTGGGTAGCCTGGAAAGCTCCTAGCATCTTCTATAAAACTAAAATGAATTTCTTAGTTATTGAACTCATAGAGAAAAAGAGCAAGCACTGTTTTAGTTTCTTGCACTAATGAAGATACTTTCACACCAGAAATTTTAGAGTCTTTATACAATGAGGCTTTGACAGCAGGGACCTTGCCATATGGGGGAGCAAACTCCTAGGGCTTATGGAATATCAATGAGATAATTTTCTGTCAGTTACTACTTTGGAGGCCAAGTGATGGCAGTTGGCAGTGTTTAAACAGACAGTATCTTTGTTTCTGTTTTACTCAAACTGCCCATCTGTTGCTTTAACTTTATGTAATAATCTCTGATTGAACTAATGGGTCTGGCTCCAGTGCATGGGTATGTATTTTACATACATGTATTATACATACATGTATTTTTTTCATTTTACATATGAATGTATCATATGTAATATCATTTGATATTAAATTCTTGATGAGGAAGTCTAGGAGTGAAGTTATTAAGCAGTAAAGTTATTAAGCACTACTTCGGGTACAGGTTTTATTATCCTTCCAGGGTCAGAGGGAAAGAGATCACTTTGCCATTTTGTGTGTCTGTCACATTCTTAGGCACATTGGATGGTAGTGGCTGACCTGCTGTCCTTTAGAACCTTCTCAGACCTCTATTTCCATGGCAACATCACTATCTGTTCAAATCTGTTTCTCCTTACCTCCTTGCCCCCAACCCTTTACAGCTGCTACTGAAGAATTGTGGAGTCTCAGTCCCCCCCCTGAGACTCAGCAGAGTTGCTTCTAGATGTCACCTGCAGTTTACAAGCTCAGTTCTTCATGGACACTATACTTGTCTTCATATCTTTCCCCATTTTGCAGTGCTACCTCACATTCTGTTGCTTACACCTGGGCCTTCCATAGCTTGATGCCAATTTAAATGTCAGAGTAACATCATTATTTATTGGTACTTTGTTCTGGTCTGTGGTTCTTTGTTCAAAGATCTCCTTAAAGAGTCAACAGCTAAAATTTACTTTGAGGTTTAAATTCAGTCTATCACTGTCTTGCTCTAAGTGTGAACATGATTTTCTTTTGTTTTATTGGTGCTTTTTAGGTAACATATCCAAGTTCATAGATAATTTAAATACTCATTTTGAATATCACATACCTATTTTCTGATATCAGGCTCTACTCAGTTCATTTTTTTTTTTCAGTTTTGTAACTATATACCATTTCCAGAGTCTTCAAAATTAAAGCTATTTCATCCACTTCAATTATATTGTGGATTTTCTTGGGGAAAAAAAAAAACATACATTTTTCCATCCGATTGTTTTAGTATTTCTTTTGAAATGTGGCCTTCTATCTTAAATACATAGTTTTCCAGTGCAGAAATATTTGATGGAGTTTAAATAGCATTATTACTTTCTATTTTATCATAAAATGATAAAATTCATCTTTTATCAGCCAGCCCTATTAAACTTGCAGCCTTTTTGGAAGGTGTCCCCTACATGTCCATATGCTTTCGATTAAAAATCTACCTCCAGGACCTCCCTGGTGGCACACTGGGTTAGGACTCAGCACTGCAAAGTAGCACAGCCACTTCAGTGTAAGTTTGATCCCACATCCTAGAGGCGATCCACATGGATGACAGGGCTCTCCTGACCCTCCTGCTGCTCCCCTCAGCACAGTGTACCTCATCAGTCTGCATGTTCTGCTCCTCTTTCTGTCTCTGGTGAATCCTCTAACCACCTCTGCACCTCTGACTTGTACCCCAATTCAGTATGCATAAAAAAATAAGTCTTAAAAAACATTACCTCCAGCACTTTTAGGGAGACCAATTATTCAACTTTACATGCAATCTTTAGAGTTGCCAGGATCCTAGACCACCAGTTTTAAAACCAGAACTGTCCCAGGCAAACTGAAATGACCTACCACTACTTTATTAAACATCACTTAAATTGTTCAATGGAAGAGTTATCAACCTTACCAAATTAAATGCACCTTTTTATTTTTTTCATTTTTATTTCTTGTATCATATACTTTTAAACTAACACATGTAAATACCAATTATGTTGTTAACCCAGGACAGGTTTATCCACAATATACAAAGATATCTTACTACATAGGTATGATTTAACTTTACTTATTTTATATGAAAACTAATTAAGTTAAAAATCATACTTTTATAAGTTTATTAATAATGTGTGACTTTGTCCATTCATTCATATTATCTATATTTATTAAACAAGTACTATATACCTCACTTAAAGTACTGAGGAGTAAAGTATACCTTTACTACAGACAGGATTATGATCATTCCAGAAAATCTCAGCACTGGTGATTTTTGTTAGTAATTTGGCATCCCATTCTAGTTTCTGTGGAGACATACGTATGTATGCATTTATATTTATTTAAAAAACCAACAACAAATGTTGGTGATGACTTGGAGAAAAAACTAATAAATGCATACGTATGTATGCATTTATATTTATTTAAAAAACCAACAACAAATGTTGGTGATGACTTGGAGAAAAAAGAACTCTCCTACACTGCTGGTGGGAATGCAAACTGGCCCAACTACTATGGAAAGCTGTGTGGAGGCTTCTCAAATCACTAAAAATGGAGCTTCCATGTGATCTAGCCATTGCACTACTAGGACCTACCCAAAGGACACAAAAAAACTAATTCAAAAGAATACCTGCATCTATGTGTTTATGGCAGCAATGTTTATCATGTTTAACTTGGAAACAACCCAAATGCCCAAAAATAGATGACTGGATCAAGAAGATGTGGTATAGACACATGATGGAATATTATTCAGCAATCAAAACAGATCAACTAATGTAATTTGCAGCAGCATGAGTGGAGCTAGAAGGGATTATGCTCAGTGAAATAAGTTAGAGGGGAAAAGAAAAATATTAAATGGAAAGAGGAATCAAATAAGTCTTTAGGGGGAAAAGTAATAACAATAAAAAAACATAACAAAACAAAAAGAAACAGACAACTATAAACCAGAGACATTCTTCAGGGGAGGGTAAAATGAGGAGGGAAGAACATAAGGGGCTAGGGCAATGGTGTACAGGTGAACTGGTGTTGGAAATTCAATGGGGGGGATTGCACCTGAGAAAAAGCAAACCGCAAAAAAAAAAAAAATGAACAATGATGCAAAATATATGTAAATAAATTTAAAAAATGAATAACAGTGGCCATAGTGTTGGGTGTGGTAAGGTAACATGCATCTGAAGAGTTGAGAAGCTGCACCCCTAAATTATTTATAGTGGTATAAGCCAATATTACCTCAATAAAATTTATATTATAAAAACTAAAAATAATTGATTGAGACATACTCACTTTTGGTTCAAGACTGAAACCCATGATACTAATTTTTAAAATACTTTCTAATGTGTAATACATGATGTTAAAAATAACCAATATGGCCATTGTTTAATTAATTCATATTTATTGATTTTTTTCCTTGAGATCATTGCTCTTAGATTCAATAAGTGTTTTAAATTGACCCATTCACTTATTCTAATAATATTTTTAGAAGCTGGAATATGCCTAATGGAATATGACAGAATTTTTTGTTGGTTCCAGATTTGTCCTTTGAGGCATAAAGTTCTGATGAATGCCTACAAAAGAGAATATTTAAAATGACATCGATTTCATATATTAAAAGGATTGTCTCATGTCAGAGGAATTTTAAATGTGTTCTTGGCAGAAGGAAGAATGAAGACCATTTTATTGGAAGTTAGGGAATTATAGAATTCAGCTCAAACTTAGAAACAAGAAAATATAATGGAAGTTTTTGTTTTGTTTTCTGTAGCCTTTAGGAATACTTTTGAGTGGCTTTAGACCTTATTGGGATATAGAATCACTTCAAGGATATCCTATATAATAATGTAGTCTTTTACTTGAAAGTGGCTGTCATCCCAGAAACAATTAGATGAGAATCTGAGTTATAAAATGTGTGAACTGATTTGCCTATGTAATAATAAAGCTAGACCTAAATCATATATTTCTGGACTTTGAATCCACTACTCCAATACCAGTTGTAAAGCATTATTGCCCTGAAATGATTTTCTGAGTCTGCTGGCCTCAGATAACTGCAAAATCTCTACCCTGTAGTTTAGCCCTGGTTTTTAACTTAGTCTAGGATCTTCCATTTCTTGAGAGTAACTTTGTAGGAATGGATCAGAGCACTGAAAGAGGCCTTAACGGTCTTTTCATTCAGAAGATTTTACGTCTCAATCCAACAGTAAATTTTTTTGTTCAAACATTAATAGCGGTTCAATCTTTAAACCAGGTTAAGAGATAGAAAAGAGATGATCTAATTGAAGATAATGTTTGGGAACTTGAACCCCTATCCCTCAATACAACCACCAAGCTTCCAAGGACTATCTTAACTCCAGAAAAATCTATTTAACTGCCTCCATTTTACAATGAGGCTTTCTGTGAATGTGGAGGAAGGAGAAATTGTTTTAGGACTTTCTAGGAGAAAATCTGCTTCCACAAATAGGGTAAAAATAGCTTTGAGAGGCACATGCAGTAAACCTAACTCCAGTGGAGTGCAGGGGAAGGGAAGATGCAAACTATGAGGAAACTGGCCCATAGGGGGGGGGGGTCCCAAACAGACATCTATCAGTAACCATCCGTGGTTAGACAAATCACCCTAAAATCTGTTAGGACAGTGTGTTTAGGGGAAGAGTAGTGTTCCTTTCATGAATTATGTGAAGATTAGTTGGAGCCTCAGAGCCTTTCCAGATGAAGCTCAATAATCTTTGGAGGGAAATTGAAGAGGGGCAAAGAGCAGGCCACCATGCACCGTGATTTACATGTTGACAGATCTAAGAACTCAGTTCCTAGGCCAGGTATGCTTGTTACAGACTTTTCCCCCTGCCCCTGCAATGATTACATTACCAGTGAGTCCATTTCTTATAATTCCCAGTTATCTGAAAGCCCCCTCAAGATGATCATAAGCTTATAACCTGTTTCAGTGCTTTTTCCGTCCTGAATTGTTGACTGTATGCTTCATAGTATTTGCTGCCTCCTTGTCTAAAGATTCTTCTTGCCCTGTACCACTTACTAGCTTAGCACATGGGGGCAGTTCCCCCTCAGGAAGAAAATAAGTCTGCGTGCCAGTGGTTCCTATCACGAGGACATTTTTCTTTAAGTCAATGGAGCATTGGTGTCTTCTGAGCATATCAAGCCCAAGAAGCATGTCCATGGGCTGCTCCTCCAGGATAGAGAAGGAGCACTGTAAGAAATCGCCTTCGATTTGAATCTGAGCTAGATGAACTCTGCCAATAATTCTCTGTGTTCCCACTCCTTTAGCGATTCCAGCCCAGCGTCGGTCCACCAGCCGTATTATGTTACAACGCTCAGCACAAGCTTGGCTCATGATGGTCATCTGGGCCCCTGAGTCAACAAAAGCCTTCAAAGGATGCCCATTCACTTTGCAGTTAATGTAGAGCATGGCCACTTGCCCGAAACTCTCCGGAGCCTCCTCCATAGCAATATTCATGTTCTCCTCAATGTTCTGCTGCCTTATTTCTTCTTCGATCTTGGCCTGAGCTTCCAGATCAAATGGGTCAGCACAAAAGAGACGAAGCCTCTCTTGTTCTCGCAGGGCTCTCTCCCTTTGCTGCTCCATCAATACTTGAGAAAAAGTCTCAAGGTTTCCACTGAGTAGGGCTTCAGCCAAGGGAGGGTTGCGTTCCTTCAGCAGGGACAGATCATGGGGATTGGCCAGCAACATGCTTCGGATCAAGGAGGGATTATTCATCCCTGGAGCGGATGTCATCTTCTCTCCACAGGCCAAACCGTGTGACTGCTGAGTTGATTGTGAACGTTGCTGCTGATGTTGATGGTGCTGATGGTGCTGATGGTGGTGGTGGTGCTGGTGCTGGTGGTGCCGGGAGCTGGATGTCCCAGGCATGGCTATCCCGGTGAAGTCAATTCGAGGCAGGCTTGATATCCGCCCAGGAGGTCGAGGTCCCACATTCTCCTTCTGCAGTAAAACAACCACATCGCCATCTTTAAGGCCATAGGAGCCCAAGGAGCAGTGATTGTCTGTGAGGAGCTGCTCCATGTAGATGATCTCGATCTCTTCTGCTGGGATGCCGGACTCAAGCTCACAGAGTACTCGGAAGTTGTGGAGCTCAAAATCAGGGGTGACCTGGAGGGAGAAGGTTACCTCGGAGAGGTCCCTCCGCACACAGTACACAGTGACCAACATGGCATGGGCCCAGGAGGGCCAGGTGGGCAGAGGGCATCAGGTGGTTCACTGGCTGGCTGGAGCTGGTCTCCCTGAGTGACTGAACTTGTGCCTCAGGACTTGATGCTTTTATTTCCATTCATTTACCTCTGAAAGAGGCACAGCCCTTGCCTGTCTGGGGCTTCCTGCCCACCTCAGTGCCTGCTGCTGGGCCACGTGGCATGAGGTGGCATGGTGGATTCCAGACGTCATTTGTATGTGTGCTGCTTAGAATTTGGAATGTCCATTCCCCTAGCAACAAAGTTACTCAGGTGTGAAGGATTCCAAGGCTGCCCTTCAAAGCCAGTCTCACCCATCAGATGAACAGGTTATTCCGACTTTCCCTAAATAGCACGTACACATTCTTTCTTTTCACTTGGGAATTGTAGTCTACATACTTGTTCCCCAAACAGGCCTTGTTTTTTACAGGCTTAGAGCTTACTGCGTACTTGGTCTGATAGGTCAGGCTTGCTGCCTGCCCCCGCAGCTCTCACATCCCTGGGAGACACTGACAGTGAGTAGGGACATGGCAATCCTGGAACTGAGTGTTTTTACAGACACGTTCTGCACAGAGACACTGACAGGACAGAGGAGACAAGGTGGATGTGAAGGATTTCCATTTTACACACTCAAGTCACTCCAGACAAAAAAAAAAAAAAATTGCATTACAAAAGCAAAAACTCATGACAAATACTGTTATTTCCAAAATTGGAATTTGGATTTGAATTGTAGACGATGAAACTGGAAAAAATTGATTGAAGCCAACCAGTAGAGTCATATAAATCCAAAGAATTTTAAGTAATGTCATACCCCCCTTCAATCAGCAACAACTGTAAAAAAAAAAGAATAAAAGAGAAAGGAAATGGAAAAGACTTGGAAGAATGTGTTTATGATTTTTTAAAAAATTGATTTAAAAGAGTTTTTTTGGACATAGTGAAGACTCATAGAGGGAGGAAAGCTGGCTAGGGTCCTTACTTAGTGGTTCAGATCGGGGCTGTTGCTAGAATATGAAAATATAAGGAAACAGAATAAAAGCATATCTTGAGTAGGATAGAACATGTGTTTACCTATTGGATATGGAATGTAAAAGAGCAGTGGACATGACAACACAGAAGGCCTCTAAATGGGAAAGGGATTAGAAAGAAGCTTTGTCACTCACCTGAGTGGGTGAGTGAGATGAGACCAGTCTGACCTCAATTCTGTAGGAAAGTCCACTGTGCATTCTGCAGGTCAGATCTGCCTGTTCTCTGGCCCTAGGGTGCAGTCCTCCTCCAGAGTAGAGGCTGGCCTGTCAGACAGGAGAGGTTGGTCAGGGCCAGTGGTGAGTGGCAGATATCCTTGAGCTGTACTTCATTTTCTCCACATTTCACTAAGTGTTTTTTGCACAGTGAAGAACTTCAGCTTGCTTAGCCTGATCTTCCAGGTATATTTATTTACTCATGAGCCTCTCCCCACTCCTTATTTCATGTTTTCTTCAGAAGATGGTTACCTAGAGAAGGGCGCCCCAGCTGCCTAAAGAATTTTTCATTTTTGGCTCCTGATTCTCACGTGCTTGTTTTTTTTGTATTTTTTCCCCTCCTCAGATGGAAGGCTACATTTCCCTCATTGTTTTAGTTACCAAGATGTTTCCAGACTTGCATTACCTTATATTGATAATGTTGACTCAAATCCCAGTGTTGGAAGCCTGTGCTCAGTACTGGGGATGCACACATGGGTAAAGTAGTTCACAACCTAGAAAGGACCCACTAATATCTGGAGAGCAGATGAGGAATATGGCAAGGGCTCTGGGAAGGCTTCCTGAAAGAGAAGTTTAAAAGAATAGAGATAAACACCTCACAGGGTGGGCAGGAAGAGGAGAGACAGGTGAGAGTCTTTATCTGGAAGGGCAGCTGGATTTTGTAACATCTTAGGGGAAAACCCTAACTAGCATTGTAATTTTCCTGTACAAAGCACTCATTATTTAGGCAATTTTTCATTACCTGGGGAGATGGATGGTCATTTGACCAACCACTGTTAACAGATTTCTTCTGTGGTTCTCATCTTACAGATAAATTTATCTTTATCGCAGCTCAGTTAAGTTCCTCCTGAATCTGGGAACCACTGTGATGTGAGACCCATAGTGTACACATTTGTTTCTAAGAACGGATGAGAAGCTACTGTGGAATGTAAAAGACTAGCTGATGGGTAGACTCAAATTAGCCCTCCCAGCCACCCCTACCAAGCTTTGGACAGTTTGTTCTTAAACTTTGAATAAGCTAGGAAGATAATAGAATTTTAAACACTGGAAGGTATTATTTTGTAGAATAAGCTGTGGGTTTGCTTTTGTTTGTTTTTGGCAAAGCAAGAATTCAGGTTGACATCAAATGACTCTAACATCTTTTTTTTTTTTTCCATAGTACTATTACCTTGATACTGAACATAAAATTGTTATGTGATATATTTCATCATCTTGCCATAATTTTTACTTCTGGTGGTAGCTTGCATTGGTGTGACTTTCAGTATTCTACCAGGTCAAGCCAATAACCCAGTGGTCACAGGAAGTTAGGATGGGCAGGGATCCTTCAGCTCCTCTAATCCAGACATCCATCTTGTCTTTAAACCCCTTTTACAAAATAACCTAGAATCTGAACAGATATATATGACCTGTGCTGGCTTTTCAGATTCTCTTTATATATTTATTCTTTTATGTACTAAGCACTATTAGTGACTCAAATACTGTATTTATAGTTCTCTTCCTTTAAATTTTTAATTAAAAATCTCTTCTAATTATGTAATAAGCTCAGGGATCATTAGTAGCATATATAAATACTCTTAAGTATAAATTGTTCCTAATACTGTATATCCCTATGGCATAGACTACTGAGAAATGAATGATTTGAATTAGCTAGTGTGTTAACTAAGGTAGCTGGAGGTTATTGCAACTTTTTGTGGAGGGTTTTTTTGTGAAGTCTATTCCTTCTTTCTTTGTAAGTACAATATAGGAGCATAGTTGAATCTATTTTTAATAAGTGGAACTCCTGCCAGGTCTCAGGGCAATCACTCAGAAAATCAATTCTCATTGTATATCCTAAATACCCAGAAAATTAAAGAAAAAAAAAAA